CACCCCGCCCACCTAAAGTGCAGCGTGAAACCCCGCCCCGCCGCCGCCGGCGCGCCGCCCGCGCCCGCCACGTTGCTCAGCGTGAACTCCCAGCCGCCCTGCGCCCACTCAGCTGTGGCCTCGCTCAGGTCAAACACGCTGCAGATCGGTACGCCGTCAAACTTTGACCGCGCGCGGCCGGCCTTGTGCAGCGCCAGCTCAGCGTACGACGCGCCCCACTCCACGCCTGGCAATGAGAGCAGCACGCGTGTGTGTATAAGTGACATCACATTCGCAAGCCGGCCGCGGCGCGCGCAGGCGAGGTCCCGCGGCGCCCGGCGGCGCGCAGGCGTCGCCGCGGCGGCCGCCGCGGGCGCGGAGCGCTTGCTGGCGGGGGCGGGGCCGGGGAGCACATGGCCGCATCTTTGGAGCAGTCCAAACGAGGAGCGAGTGCACACAGAGGGGACCGGTGTAGGGTGGGGTGGGTGTAGGGTGTAGGGGACTAGGGTAAATGGGTGTGTGTGGGGGGGGGGGTGGCCCACCTAGCATGTCGATCGCCGGATTGTTCATGTGCAGCACCCGCCACGGGCTCGACGCCGTGTCCACCACCTGCGGGCGGGCGGCGCGATGACGTCACGCACGGTCAGCAGCGACTCCCCCTCTGTCGCGCCGCGCGGGGTTTCATCACATGGGGCCGCGCGGAGTGAGGCGGCCGGCAAGCCGCGCGGCGTGCGCAGCGGTGTTAATCAGGGTGGCGATCTTGAAACAGGGATTTCAAGTGCATGCCGCCTTTCGAGAGCCCCGCGCCCGGAGTCGCGCTGACTCACCAGGTAAGGCGTGTCGTACGCGCCCAGCGGCCGCAGCCGCTGCACCGCCGCGGACACATCGCTCTGGTTTGACAGCTGGCGCGCCCACTTCTGCTCCAGCTGGCGCACCTGTGAGTATTGGGGGGTCGCGGCGGGCACAGGCGGGCGCGGCGCGGGGGGAGGGGCCGGGGGTGTGAGCGCGGAAGGTGTCTGCAGCGGAGGGCCGGCGCCGGCGCGCATTAAAGCAGGCGGGGCGAGGTTTTAAGGCGGGCTCGCATTGGCGGTCTGGTAGGGCCCGCATGCGGC